AGGAAGTTCCTCCTCCATCTTTCTCCGCCAGAGAGAATAAATGAATCCTCCACTGAGGATGTTCAGCAGGTGGATCACTGGGTGAAGGAGTGAATGTAGAGTGAATGAGTGAATGCAGAGTGAATGTAGAATGAATGAATGCAGAGTGAATGTAGAATGAATGAGTGAATGTAGATCCTCTTGGATCCTCTGACTTGATGAGTTCAGGTCGTTTACCAACATCTGATCCTGATTGATTGTCTCTCTAACTGTCCTCTGTCTCCTCAGCAGGGACAGACCAGGAGGACACTGATGGCTGATCAATCAGTCTGATCAGGTTGATCATCTCTGATCATTGATCCAGTCAGACTTTGGATCAGAGCCGATCTCAGTGAAGGTTCTGATGGACCAACAGAGACACTTCCTGGTCCTCTGGTCCAGTCTGCAGCCTCTGATTGATCACTATTGATTATTGATGACAGAATGAAGATCTGAAGGAACTGAATCATTTCTGCTGCCTGAGGAACCAGTTCATGACTGGAACTGGAACTGGAACTGGTTTGGATCCATCAGGAGGAGGAGAGTCCAGTCTGACCAGAACCAACATCTTTTCTATTCAAACCCTAAAATCTCTAAACTTTTCGCTTCCAGTCCAGAATCTGGAGAGTTTGACGAAAGAAAATCTGGAAATATTTTCTGCCTTTAGAGTTTAAGATCCAGTTCCAGTTATTGAATTAATTAACCTTTATTGGATTATAATCCAGACAGATTAATGTAGTCCTGGATTATAATCTCTGGGTTTACGGAGCCTCTAGGGAACATGGGAAAATATGTTACTGCAGTATCTGTTGGTCGATTACAGTCACAGAAGTTAATTTAAAAATTTAAATATAAACACATTTAAAGAGCCTCAGTGTTTATTCTTAACTCTTTGTTGCAATAAATTGATTTATTCACTGCATGTTTATGTCTGTAAGGCTGAGATGGAACTGGACATGAAAACGGCCTTTAAAACATTCAGACCAAAACAAAAGAGACTCAATTAAACTAACAGATGATTTATTACACTGTAATAACAACTCAGAAATACTGCTAATAGTTTGGATGTATTTTTATTTCTTTCCTACTTACGGAAAGTTTCTGTTTACATCATAGGTTTATGGTGCCTTAACTAAAGAAAAATATATAAAACTCCAGATATTCACAATGTGATGCATGGATATATAACACTGCATGGATATGAGCCTTAATATGAGGCTTTCATGAGGTTACATGTTAAAACCTCATGAAACCTCATAGCAGAAAGTACGATGGGCCCCTAAGAAAGATTTACAGCATCAGTTATGCTGCATGAACTGATCAGTTCATTATTGAGACGGAACAAAAAAATAATAATCCTCCATGTTAGTATTATATGAATAATTCTTTATTATTATGAATCCTGCTTTATTAATGTGATGTCAATACAAATAGAAGCTTCTTTATCTCACATTTTCATTTTAAACATGTTCTGAATATAAACATGAAGTCCTATTAAAACTGTTACTTTGCATAAAATGCTGAATTTGAACATAATTAGATTTCTGCTGACTAAATATGTTCACTTCTGACTGAAATATATTTTATGCCTCATTTTATTCATTTGTTACATGTTGCTTCCATATTAATGTCTTTTAAAATAGATAACTTTGAATTTTAAACCTCTGATCTGACTTATTACCAAAAGGTCATGAAATAATTTGGTCACTAATATAAATATTCAGTATGTAGTGAGACATTAGCTGAGGTTCAGACTGAGTTTTGTTACCAAATACAGTGATCATATATGATGCTTGTATATCTATAATGTCTTGTATTTTATTTCTTGTAAATATTTTTATGTGTATTACAATTTGCTTGGTGCTTTAAGGCTGAATGAAAATCAGATTTATCATCATTTCTGAGTTAATCTGGATGTTTCTGTTTCTCTGAACATTCAGGATGAAGAAACTTTTATTATTTTTAATCTGACTCAATTTACTGGATGTTTCCTGAATCTGCAGAATAAACCTTGATAATCATTTAAATTATTGATCCATCCTCATTTCCAATCAGCTGATCTCTAATAATAGATGAACTGATTGGTATTGAATGTTAATATTTAAACAAAATTATTTCTATTTGCTGGAATTCATGACTATTCAGTGTTTATATTAATTTGATGGTTTTTCTAGGTTTTCTTTTTGAGATTTTTAGACCAAATAAAACTCCAGATTTTAGTAGATTTTTGTTTCCCTTTTCTTAAAAATGAAGAACAGAAAATATTTTCAAAAGGTTTGTTTTATGTCAATCATCCCTTCAGGGACCTGAATTCAAAGTCCAACTAAATTCAAACTCAATAAAACCAGTTTAGCATCCAGCCCTCCTTTTTCCTGCCTTTTCCTTTTAAATGACAGTTTTTAACTTCATTTTCAGGGGAATTTATTTATTTATTTTTGCTGTTTTGATAATCATGTCTGCTAAAAATGCCAAAATGTGCTGACAATAAATAGTTCAGAAAACTTCCATCTTGTTTCTCCTCTCGAGTTAAATCAAAGCTTAACGCAGTTCTTGGTTTTCAACAGCCTTTTATTGTGGACACGTCTGTAAAAGTCCCCAAAAATGCCGTCAGAACTACAAAAGGCAACAAAAACCTAAATCAGTTCACAATAAATGGCGTATTTACATAAATAAAAGATACAAATGAACTAAACTTTACCTCATTAGCCGCATTGAATCTTAATTTCTTACAGCTTCTTCAGCTTGAATGCCCATGTGGCTCTAAGTGCGCCAGTCAATGCTTCCCTGGGCAACACATGGTCCGGAACAAAACAAAGGTTCCCCCTCCACATTTCAATATACACTTAACATAGATTCAATAAAATTACCTCACAGTTAAACTTAATGTTTTATATTAAATAAAATCTAACTACTGCCAAATAGTAGTTAGAAATAATAACAAATAACAACAAAAACAATAAAAATAAACCAGATGCAGTTGTCTTGACAGCAGCTGCACATCTGTTTTTGTTTGAATTAAATTTTGTTTTTCCAGGATCAAGTTGCATTAATTACCTGTTTTAAATCATTTCCTCCATTTTCTTTACTTTTCATCACATTTCAAACTGCAAAGTAAAATATAATCTAAAAACTTAAATTCTCTAATAATTCTTGACTTTATTATTCCTGCTGATTTAAATCTCTGATTTCACACAAAAATAAAACAAGTTGTGACTCCAATGATTCTGTTCTTCATCTTGGTCATAATTTATCCAACAAAATG